TGACCCCCGTGCTGCTCCACATAATTAATAAATAAAGCACTGGGGGAGTTTTTGCCATGCTGGCTGCTATGACAGGGCTGTCTACGGTGCACTTAAGCATTAAATGACCAATTTCTGTCAGACTAACTTCCCAAGCCTCTCTCTCTCTCTCTCTCTCACTCTCTCACTCACAAAGCCAGCTTCCTCGCTCCCTGCACTTGGAGTTTTTCAGCAACTGATGGCTTCTGGTTCATTTCTGTAGAATTAATTGGTCCCTGAATGAATTCTGTTGACAGGGCAATTTATCATGTGTTTGGGTTGACAGTGTTGGATACCGGGAAAGGGGGGGAGTGGTGTCTGAGTGGGATGAGGGGAGATGGACAGGGTGGGGGTGGGTGGGAGGATGAAGAAGAGGAGTAGAAGAAAGGGGAGGTAGAGGAGGAGATTGCTTAAAAAAATAAAATGAAGGAGAGAGGAAAAATTCTGTTCCTCTTTGGCTCCCTCAGGTCCAACTCAGTGTGATGTTTAATGCTCAAGAGGGATGAGGAGAAGTGGAGATGAAGGGAGTGCCACTTGTCTCATGATGAGAGTCAGGATGCTGCTTTTCCACAGTTTGCACCATGGCTTGGGAGAAAAAAAAAAAGGAAAAAAAAGAAACCCAACCAAACAACCAAAACCCCCCAAAACAGCCAACAGTAAAAGGTAGTAGTTATCTGGTGTCTCTGGCTCTCAGCCAGAAGCCTTCGTATGCAATGTCCACATCTCCTTCTCCATCATGCTAAAGTGCGTGGGAAGTGAGGGACAAATCTGGCTAACCCTCAAAATGCTGATATGTGCCCCAAATACTGTTTCAGTAGGTACTAAGTGGTGTCCAGCACCTCACAATGTGTTAGTATCTGCCATTGTGTCTACTAGTCAAGGACAGCCAAGAAGGAATCACATCTTATAAAACAACATCAGTGATTTGGGTTCCCAGTTCCCCTCAGTATGGGTCAGAAGGAGGTCCCTGGTCCCATATGTTCCTTTGGTGATCTCACCTCATCAAAGACAACATTTCACATCATCCAAGATAGGGACAATGAGGGACTTCCCAAAATAATTAAAAGTATATTGTAATTGCATGTCATTTAAATGTCATGACTTTGGTGTATGGATTCAGTTTCTAGTCAGTGCAACCTAGGTGATCATTGCTGCACTATGGATAACATTAAAACCAACCAAAGCCAGAAAGAAACTCAGTTTGAATGAAACAAAAGTGTTTGAATAAAGATTAAATAAATTCTTAAATTGATGCCTTTTCCAGGAAACTTTGAGTGACCTAAAGAAGTGTACTAAAGACTTGATCATAGAGAGGTATGTCTGTGAAATGTTGGTGGCATCCATGTGTAGAGGGTAGTCTTCATCAGTATCTTTTCACCTGTGTCCTCTCCCAGCCTTCCCTACACTGTGAGTGCAATATTCTGGACTACTCAATGCTGAGATCAGTGGAAGAGTTGCTAGTAGGTTTCCTCCTTGATGATGGCTTGGCTTCGCGAGCGAAGATTTGGGAAGGGCTTTAACCACGCTTACTACAAGCACGATGACCAAGGGCATGTGTGATATCCAAATCTGGTTGGAAAAAAAGGCTGCTTAGGCAATCAGGAAGTGTCCAACCATGACTGTCAACTCCTGAGCTAACTCAAGCTACCCATGCGCTGGTTCCCCCACATGCAGCGTTGGATCTGCAGCTTCCCATGCACCTTGTCCCCTGCAGTTTCCACCCTCGCCCGTCCATACAGACAAGTGAGAGCGAGCCCTTCCAGCCTGCGCAGTGGATTTGTTAGGTGAGGCGCAGCTTGCGCAGAACTGGCCCCTCCCTTTACACCTGAGGTTTAACTGCCACGGCCTAGTTAGCTAGGATGGTGACAGCAAAGTCCACAGGTCGTAGGTTTTGTAAGAGTGTTCTTCTCTTTGATGGAAGACCGTACAAGGCTAGGCGAGCTCCAGCAGCCCAGGTTTGAAGATAGGAGTTTTCCTTCTCCTATGAGGAAGGCCTGTCATCACTAACGAAGATTCAGGAAGACCTTTACCCATGCATTCTGAACAAGACCGTCAACTCCTAGGTCAATCACAAGCGACCGATGACACAATAGCACAAGTGTCAAGGCGGGTTCTCAGAGGCATTCAGTCATAAGCCCGCAGATGGTAACCTCATGCCAGTGGCTCCTCAGCCAAATGCACACACCAGGGGTCTGAACCTGCGGTTCCTCTCGTACTGAGCAGGATTACTATTGCAACAACACATCATCAGTAGGGTTAAACTAACCTGTCTCACAACACTATCTCACTGGGAACAACATTAAGTCAGGGCTTGGCACTCCTGAAATTACCATCCTGAGCCTTTAGCTGCAGGCTAGCAGGAGCTGCCTTTGTTTCTCAGAGCCCTATGGCTCAGTTTTCCAGCATTCAGTCATCATCTTTGTCTTAGGACCGAAGGTGTTATCAATCCAGTTGACAAAATGAGTGTCCATATCGTAAACAGTCTGGAGGCAGAACTGAATTTTAGTAGCAAAACCCACGCTTGAGGTGGTGAAACACAAGTAATGTGGTGGTAGATGGTTTCTCTCTTAGTTTGTTCAGTCAGATACAATGCAAATGTAAATATAATTCTCACCAGGTAAAAAATTGTGCAACTGAGCACAGGGGAGACTGGCTGCTTCTTTAGGGTTGTCTTTCTTGGTTTTACCCTGGGTTCGGTGAAGCTTCTAGCCTGAATCCTACCTGAGAACATTTGAGCATCAGATCTTCTGGAGTGCTAAAATGGAGCAGGTAGGGTGAGGAGATGTAGGAAATAGGGAACTGGCACAATCAAACTGCAGAGGATTTGTGAGAGACTATTTTTTAGGGCCACTAAGTTTACTGGTTTACTGCCAACTAGAAAGCCAGTTGAAGTTATTGCACTAAGAGTGAGTGTACAGGAAGTGACAACCAAGTAAAGCCATACTGGATAGAGGGAAAATTTATTTTCATACACTTTTATTTTCCTTCTTTTCATATGATCACTCCAAGGAAATGGTGGAAGCAGCTTCTTTTCAAGGCTTTTGTAACAGTTTTCCATTGTAGTAACTCAGCTAAATAAATCTGTACTGCAGGGGTTCAAACCTAGAAATATTCCCACCCTAGATGAGCAGATATAAATAACAGTTGTGACTTGAAGTAGGGTGTTTAAGAAGGAAACATGAGTGTTGCAGTTCTTTTATGTGGGATCCTAAAATGTAAGTTATTTGAGTGAGAGGACCTGCTCTTTGTTGTAGTTTAAGACAACAAAAGTTTTTTAAGTTGTAGCTTAAACAACAAAATGTGTATAGGAACTGACATACACAAATTGCCAATGGTGGCAATAATAACTGAGCAGTGATTTTGTTGCATGTAAGTCATGCAAACAGAGCTTAATCAGAAAACTTGAAAGAAGTGTGTGGTGCTTGGAAAGGACCAGCCTGAGCTGGGGGCATCTTTGGATGCTGGTTATGATCCCACAGAACAGAAACATTGTTGATTGCTAATGAGAAGGTGCTTACATAAGAGTTAAGTGTCTTTTTATAAAAAGAGGGCCTCCACACAGACATGAAGCCTAAATATATGTTATGAAGGGTTTTTTTCCTCATTAAAAATAAGATCAGTAGTATTACAATTTATAAATATGAATCAAAAGTAAGAACATACAGTTTGGTAGCAAAAGTTCTGCAACACGATATACGAAGATATGATAGGTTTCAGCAGCTGTAAGTTGACAGTAGGTAAATGCAACCAGAAATAATGCACATATTTCCAGCAGTGCAAGTAGTCACCTGCCAAAGTATTTTAGCTGGGTTCACTGTATTTACTAGTACTTGGTAGCAAATGTTCCTCAGTAACAGGTTCCCCCAGCTCAATCCCAGCTATTGGACCTGTAGCAGTAATTCAAAGCAGCCTATGGGTAGCCTGTGTCAGAGGGCAGACAAGATGATCACAGTGCACTAGGAGTCTCCTCCAGGGTAGCTGTGGCAATGAACTTGAAAACTGCTGTCTTAAAAGTCAATGCCTAATTCCAATTTCACTTACACACTGTTTACATAAGTGTAACTTTTGACTTCAGACTTCTGCTTGACAGTAGTGGATACAGAAGGCAAATCAAACTTCTGAGAAAAATGGTTATGATCAAATTGACCCGAGCCAGTCAGGTGAACATGACATAGGACACATTAATGGAGTAAATGGGCATATTTTCACTTGTGTCAATGAACCTTTGGGACAGAAACACAAGCATTTTTATTAAAAAAATCCTTAAAAAGGGAAGAGAGAGTAAACCCTGAAACAATACAAATCTTCCTGCATTGTGAAATGGAGATGAAAAACTCCTGTAGTTGAAAAGGCAATGAAAAGTGAAGTCTGCATGAAACAGTGGAGACAAAATGGACCAAAATAAACTCCAAGCCGGTTACATTCAGAGCTAACCAGGGTATAATAGGTAACTAATGTGGCAAGACAGATGACTTAAACATTATTCAATATGCAACTCCTGCAGCAGTGGCTGTGATTAGAAATGTAGGCCAGAGTTGCAGACTGAGTTTCTGCACTTTGAATGCTAAATCTCTGGATTTAGGAATATAGGATTTGTGAGACTGGGCACAGCTCATATTTTGTCTGGTATACCATCTTGAGCAGTAGACTCAACAGATTCTTAAGAGGGAGGCAGAACTGTGCAGTGGGTAAGCACAGGAAGCACCTGCAGCTTGTTAGGAGCTCAAGTAATCTGCAGGTTGGCTTAATCCCATTAATGTTCATATCTTTCCAGAATGCTTGTTGAATGATCATAACTCTGGATAATTTTTTAATACATATAAAACTTTTTAGTCTTCTCTGGAATCTTGGTAACTCCCTGTGGTTACAAATTCAGTTGGTCAAAATACAAAATGTTGGGGAAGAATTTTAATAACCTTTGAATTTGCTGCTTTGTAATGTAATCAAATGTCATCTTTTTCTTGTGTTCTTGTGACCTGCAGGGTCTGGTTCTGCAAAGGAAGCCTCTGGCTTGCCTTCTGGGGAGTATTCAAGAGCTATTTTGATGAATTCCAATTAAGAGTCTTCCTGACACCAGGGGATGTAGAGGTCAAAGAATGCGTTTAGCAGCTCAGCAACAGACCACTTGGAGGACAGATAAAGGTAAGAAAATGACATAATTGTAAAACAGAACAGAGAAGTCCAGAAGACATGAAAGGGATTTGAATTTGGAAGGATCTTCGAGTGAATGGTACTATTAAGAATTCTGCCTGGAGCCCAAAAGAACTTGATAAAAATCCTTGTATACTTAGGGTTCTAATAGTGATGATAATGCTTTGCCTCATTATGTAGTGATTAATCTGAATTGGAAGTTTACCGAAAGTTGTAGATGGTCTGATCAGAAACAAGAGCTTTCTGTAGTCGTGTGAGACTTTAAAGAACTATTGTGGTTGTTTGAAGATAGAGATCCCTGCATGCCTTCTGTGTGCTTCTGATTCCTGTTGAAGCTGTGGGAAGTCTGTTGCTCCTAAAGATCCCAACAGAGGCATTCTAAGAGACACCACCAGTGTCTGATCTTGGGAGAGAAGCAGGAGTCCTCAATATGTTGCTACAGGTGGCACTAGTCTTTAACCAAGTCTGGCTATGTAGAAGGAAATTCAGGAAACTAACCTCCCAGCCAAGTGGATAATCAGTCATAAGCAGAACTGACATATTCTCACTGATATTTGTACATCTCTTGTCTTTAGCAGGGCACAAGTAACCTGTCATACCAATACTGTAGGATTAACTGAGCTAGATACATGTTGCTTAAAAAACACTCATGGAGTTCTGTGCATATGGAATCAAATAGTCCATTCTTGACTTCTCTGTATTCTGAGTGGCTGCGCAATGGAAGAGATATATCAACAATTTTGCTTTTCCTGTGTTACAGCCCTTGTAGTTCAGAGATGACACAAACCTAGCACCTTCGCTGATGTATGACTCACTCAGAAGGAAGGACTCCAAAAAGCCTTGTCTCCTTTCCTCCTAGTCAGCTTTGAATGGAACACAAAAATGATGAAGGCCAGCCCTGTGATACACCCACATAAGCATCTGCCTTCCCCCGCCACATCCTTCACCATGGGTCTCACATGTTCTGCTGTCTCTCTCTCTTCTAAGGGTGCAGCTGATGTTTGTGTTCATTCTTGGTTTGTGAAGGCACACAAGACAGTATTGGAGATATCAGTAAAGATGTGCAAAGTTTCCAGAATCAAAGTCTGTTCTGAGTTCCCTTTAGTTTTTCCATTGTCTCTCCCCTGCTTTTGGGGGGAACGTCTCATGTGGCCCCTTCACTCAGAGTGGGATTTTCTGGGAAGTCAGAGAAGTTGTCTCCAAGGAGAAGAAATGTTTGACATCACCAGGATGTTTCCCAGGAGTGGTACTTTGTGGCCTTCACAAAAAAATATATTTTGCTGTTTACAGTTTACTTTGTGGTAGCTCTTTGAGACCTCTGGTGTGTGCCAGGAGCCCACTACATCACCTGCTGTGCAAACACAAAGCACTAAGAGAATTCCTGCTACAGACAGTAATAACCTTCATCTAGTGAGAGTGATCACCTGGTACAGACGGAAGGGGGAGCACAGTGGAATAGTTGGAGCACAGGGTATAATTTAAGTTCCTGCTGCTTTATAGTAAAACTTAAAAAAAAAGTTGGATGGCCAGTATGTATCCTAGCTGGTAGAAGAGCAGGGGAAGATTTTTTCCTCATGGACTTCCAAAGGAAATGCAAGTTAAAACAAATTCATTAATTAAAGCTGAGGTGTGATTAGACACATCTGAAGCAGTTGTTGTTACAAACATTTTCAGAAAAGCTCAATGTGTAATGGAGAGCTGAGAGTCCCAGACACTTCTCAAAGTCTCCTGGTCAAAATACTGAGCTGTACATATGGACATGCTTAGTTCACATTTGGAGCCATTTGAGGAGCTGGTCACAACTGTAGAAACTGAGCCTTTGGAATATTCTGACAAATGTGAACCCAAATAACAAAAGATTATGCGGTTAAGAATACTGGCCAGGTACTTATGGTCAATGGGCAGTGAATCCTCGAAGTAGAGCGCTGGGGTAGCAATAAATCATGGAAGGAAATCTCACTCCACTCCTGAGTGCTTCTGCAACAAGCACAGATGTTCATGAACTGGGGAAGTGCTGGTCATTTGGAAAAGTTGTGGTGTTTGGTTAGATCCCTGAATATGGGTTACATTTCACCTAGCTGCTTTTGGGAATCTTGTCCAAGTATCTCCCTATAGTAATCACTTTATGGCCCTTCTTTGGGTTATCAGTGTGCTTCTGTGAGCTACCTGTTAGCACTTTCTTTCCATTATGTAACATCCTAGAGTTTCTCTATTTTCTGACAGCGTTTTCCAGCTCTTTTGCTTAGACATTCTGTATGTTATGTGTATGTATTCCCCTGCCAGAAAAGGATGCAGCAAGTAGAAAACCTGTGTTGAAGATTCATTATCTTTTGTTCCATTTACTTTCTCAAGAATCTGGCAAACTTTTTGAAGCACGTCAGTGAGGTGGGTCTGAGCAGCCACCTCTTGTCTCTTCCCAGAATGTGATTGCTTTCCAGCATGCTTCTCCTAATTGGGCTAATTGGTCATGTTCCCCTTTGCTTGTATTCGTACCTGCATAAGGAGGATCCAGTGTGCTGGCATGGCTGGTGAGATTTGTGTGTCATTCCCTTTCTGCCAATGATGAGGTGAGCAGCATTGAATGACTCACATTGTCTAATGCTCTCTGCTTTGTCTAATGAAAAGTAGGTTGGTCAGGACAGGAATGATGTCTTACTTTGTACAGTATATAACACACAAGAGTCATTGTCTCAGTATCTCTAGGTGATGTTGTAACATGGTTCATAACCACAGTACATAGGGACTGTAATGTTTCTTTCCATGACTGTAGCTTGTGGCTATGCTATTTTTTGTATTCATTCAGTACCCCTGAAGCTGCCTGCTGTAAACTGTCTTTCAGCAGTCTTTTCAAGACCCCAAACAATGATACGCAGATTGTATTTTGACCTTATACGTGTATATGAGTGCAAACCAGCATCACCTGGTCAGTGTTTTACCAAATTCATCTCTCACATGAAAATCAGTACTTTGCATGCTCAGTTTGGCAAATCTCAAGCACTTAGTAAGCAAGAATTGCTTTCCTCCACCTGCAAGAACAACGATTTGTGCTTAAATGACATAAGGAGCTTTTTTGCTCTTTTTTTTTTAAGGTCTTTGTCTTGTCTTTTTTGAGCCTGTAACTGAAACTGGATGGTAGAACGAACCAAATGAACTCACAACTGTTTAAGGAAGGCTGAGATTTTAATCTTACATCATGTATCCTGATACTGGAGCAAAAGCCCAAAACTTTGATGAGAACTTGTGAGGCAACTGTGAGAATGTTATGTACCATATTCTGGTTTTGAGACAACTGGCTGGCAACTGCACTGCCAAGACGGTTACATTGGTACTTGCAAACAGTATGATGTGATGGCAGAACTGTTCTGAGCAAAGCAAAGTGGAAAGAGAAAATACAGGTGCCTGAGGTGAGGTTTGTGATGGGGTGCTTAAGAGGCAACAGAAATCCATCAACAAGCAGTAGTTCCATGGAAGGACAAATTTCCTGAATGGTTCAGTGGCAACCTAATGCAAATATGCAAATGATTACACTTTGAGAAAATAGGTTAAATTCTCTTTCTGAATGCAAAAGAGACAATTAATAAAAAGCTGGCACCCTTCTTTGGTGTAGACAGCAGAGTCCAGAATTTTCCAGAGAAAACTGGACAAGCTGAGATGAAGACTTCTCCTGAAATCTGATCTCTCTGGGGATCATTGCCACAGGTATCATCAACTCCTAAGAGCCCCAGCTCCTCTCAAGCACCATGGTGTGAGCTGTTGCTCTTTACTGCCTTTTTTCTTCCTTTTTTATGCCTTTATAAAAAATGCTTCCCTTGACATGCAAGGCCTTGTTCAATCAGTTTGTGATCCCCTCCTTGCCTAGCAGAGAGGTAGAAATACCCTTTCTGCTTCTCCTCAGTGGGTAACTAGATAGGCAGGGTGCACCCAGCAGCTTTAGAAAGGGGTTTGGAATATGTCCACTCTCTCCTCTGTGCCACTGTGGCTCAGTCCCCAGAGCCCCAGGGATGTAGCATGTCACATTTACCTCTCCAGCAACATCCTTTTAATGACCAGAAAATCTGCATAGTTTAAGAAATCAAAGCCTTTACTTAAGATGTGAAAAAAAAAAACCAAACATGTCCACAACAAAAGGTGATGCCAGTTCCTTGCCTCTCACCAGAGCTGTGAGGAAAGAACCGAGCTGCAAGTTGCGTTGGAAGTGAGGAGGGTAACCTCCCCCTTCCTCCTTTCCCATCCCAGCCCCAACCCAGCCCCCAGTAAGGCTTCTTCTCTCCGTGGAGTCCCTCTGAGCACGATGCTGAGCCAGAGGAGTGACAGGTGCCTCCTGATATGCCTAAATGAGAAGAACCAATCGGAGGAGCCTGCCCAGCTTTTGTTGTCATCTGGCTTTGCTCACGAAAGATGAGTTTGATTGACAGATGCATCAAGGTTCACAGTTTATTGGTTTTTGCAAAAGAGCCAGATCTGCCAATTTAGACAGGGGAGTGACACAAAACTTTCCATCTAAATGGACTAATTTTACCACAGGGAATTCCCAGGCAGAGCGCTCCAAGGCAGGCGCAGTCCTGTTTTATTTTTTAACAAGGACTGAATGACAAATATAAACGACAGTTCTAGGCTGACGGAACATCAGCATTTGACACTTCACAGGGGAGCGGTGAAATAAACAATAGGCAGAGAAATTGAATTAGAATCAGATGAGAGTCAGCTAGAGAGAGAGAGGAGGGCCTGATTCTCTACCAAATCATTTATATAAAAGCAAACTGAATACTAAGTAGGTATAACGTGCTCACACCCTGGTTTATTAGCAAATTTCACCTATTAGCGTATTACACTTGCATGGTGTAAATGGATTGCTGGACAAAGGTGGGTGTTAGAGGAGACCAGTGCAAAAGGTGGGGTTTCTGTTCATGGTGGTGTGAACCTCCTGTGGTAATCTTACCTTGTGTTACTAATAGACTCAACAATGTTAGAGAGCAAAGAGTATGACAAGT